TGTCCATCGCTCTTGGAGTGCTACTCACAGCTCCATTGAGAGCCGCATCTTCAGAAAGAAGCTACTCTTTTTGGAAACAGAAATAATTCATACCTTATCTAAGATCAAGCATGTCACAAGAACGCCTGAGGATTAGCCATACTCTCTATCGAGAGGGTCAGCAGGTCATTGAATTACTAGAAAGTGATCGATGAGCTGGTGGCAAAGGTTCCGAGAATACGAACGCTAAGGGTGGATTTTTGAACAGAGAACTATCCGATAATGCAGCTTTATTCCAACTAAAATGCATGCTATTTTCCTTGGAATAAAGCTGCATTATCGGATAGTTCTCTGTTCAAAAATCCACCCTACATCTTTGGACAACCTGCACAAATTCCTTGCCTTTTCTCGCTTAATTAAAATGTAGTGATTTTCCTTTTTTTTCCAATATAACTTCGATAATCGAAAATGAAGTGAGGGGCAAATCTCCGGAATCCAGCGGTGGCCCAATGTATTTGCCGCAGGGGGCCTCGCATTTTCCCGCGCCGGGCCTGTATGCACATCCATGATTAAACCATCGAGAAATACGCCTTCTGCTTGGAAAGAGACGAACTCATCAAATGAGGAGGTTGTTCACCAAGGTGCAAACACAGTATTCCTATGCCACAACCCCTTCATTGGGGTTGGCAAGGCTCGGGACCACACCACTAAATCCCTTCTTTAGCTGCTAGGGCAGGTGCATGACACTATCTTGCATGTACGAAGACTGGTAGCCACCTCTATAACACTCCTTGCAAGCACAAGCTGCAAACGCAATCTGAAACTTTCACAGGCCTTTGTATTTGAGTTGGAAGATGAATGCAGCTACTGCAGTTAAAATTTAAACTAAATCAAACGTAAGTGAAATTTTCTCTATAACTACTCATCTTTCATACAGTTGTAACTAACTATTCTTAAAAATATGTAGGTTTACGTATGTAATTACCAAGTTACCCATCGCTGCAAGCTTTCACCGCTGAATCATTCCGGTGGAATATCGAGGACAATAAGATCTCTTCATTGAGTCATACCTACTTTGGAGTCTTCAAAAAGGGCACTGCATCCTCATTGCCTATCAGCATAGATAGCACATATTACGTAGAGGGTCAGCCATTAATGTATACACGTATTCGTATACGTCAATATTTCAGCATATATCGGGTGAGAATTGAATCAAACTATCCGTCTCCAATTCAAAGTTTATTGGTAGGGTATTTTTGCATGAAGAGAAAGGAATGTAAGCCAAATTACACGCAAGGGAACTCGTCAACACCACCACACGAATAAAAATGGATATGCAGAATCACCCTCACTCTTCAGGCCTTCCAATGAAATATTTCCTGCCCCATCATTTCGGGTTGGTAAGTGAAGGGGAGGGAATGATGCCTAGCAGCGAGATAGGCAGCGCCGGCAGCGGCCGAGCATTTGGCAGAAATCAACGAGAACTCGGTCAGAACACCCCGCTCTCGGATAGCAGCGATGAAGCCTGGTTTCAACAAGTCCCAGGACTTCCACACGTTCCCAACGCAAACGATCGGGAGTCCCCCGGGCCCGATGAGAAGTTCCCGATCTGCTTTTGGGACAAGACAATTCACCATGTCACCCAACCACGATCCCGTTTGTTCGAAGAGGCTCCGGCTCAACGCATCGCCATCCCGGGCTAGGTGAGCCAGTTTTACGCATAGCCCGGCCACTCGAGACTTCTTGAAGTCCTTGTAAAAGACGGGCAGGAGGTCCGGGATGCTTGCGACTCCCCAGTCGTCTCCAAGTAGTTTCCAAACTCGGTCTGTGGGATGCAGGACAGGTTGGAATCCTTCGAAGGCATTGATGCAGGCCTTGACCGCCTCTCGGACAAGGAGATAGGCCGAGCCCTCATCCCCGAGCATATAACCCCATCCTCCACATTGGAAAGTCTTCATATTGGGATTGACTATAAGCGAGTTGGATCCCGTTCCGGAGATGAGAACCAATCCTCCGTTATTACGCACGGTGTATACGGACCCCAATGTATCACTACAGACAAGGTATTTATGCGAGAGGCTTGGGTAAGCTTTGGAAATGCCTTGACGATACTCTTCGGCCACTGTTTCCCCTTCCACTCCAGACAGGGATAGTCCCAAGCATTGCAACGTTGTCATCGGAGATAGTCCAGCCGATTTCAAGGCGCTGGTCACGGAATCGCGAATTATTTCCCACGCCTTTTCGTACCCAATCTGCCAGTGATTACAGCCATCTGGATACACGTATTCCGCCAAGAGTTCACCCTCCGGGGTATACAAATGAGTCACTGTATGGGAGGATCCACCTTCTACACCTCCAAGCACTACCTTATCACTCATCATGCACGAATCTGAATGCAAGTGCACTGGATATCTGGACGAACCCATGTTTTTCGCAAAATTAATACAAGAAGAAAAACCCATGCACAATGCACGTATTCTACAGGTAAATGTTTCGCCGATGAATAAAAAGTGCCAAATGATGCAAAACAGTTAAGTCTAGTCTATTCGGAATTTGTTAGGATCCATGCACCCTGGCTCGATGCGAATGAGAAACAAAGAATGTGTTGGGAAGGGGATGATTGAAAGTCGTAATTGCATGCCAAACAAGGGTGAGCGCATGAGGGCCACAGATGAATGCAGGGAGGGAGAGATTGGTAGAGGGGTGTATTATATCGATACCGAAGTTATCTGGCAGCCTGGGGACAGAGAATGGAATGGGATGGTTTCCTTCCAGAAGCAGAAACAGAGCAGGGGTGTGGATGCGATCCATCACTGGCAGCTCGACAAGTTTTTACTGACAAGTTTTCTTCACCGATGACTCATCCCGAGGTCTTTCATCATCCTCCCTCATGAATGAAACCCTCCCTGCCCTTCACCAATCGATACACTTTCGCTTAGACGTAGCAAAAGCTCTCTTTATTTATTCTGATAACTCCCCGTCAACAGACGATGCTCTATATCTCACTTGTGGGTGCCGGAGGCGCTTGAACGTTCAATAAACGGCTTCAGAAATGACGCCTTGTCCTGAACGTTGCGATATTTTACGAGGATACGTATTGGCACAAGGCACGCATGTTTGACACGCATGAAACACGAGACAGGAAGAATATTCCGGGAAAAGAAAGGAAATCGGGAAGGGGGCTCAAAGGGAGGTAACAGCAGCTGAAAATCGGGGAACCGCACCACGTGGAAATACAATATTAATGAGGTTGGGGTAACACACCACGGAAGATAAGGAGAGGCGACAGCGCCGAGATATGGGGGGATCTGAACTTCATAACGTTTGAAAGAAATGTAAACACTTGATCTACGGTGCTTGGAGAGCACGCCCAAGTCTATTCTGAAAGCAAGGGAAACGGAGACTGAATGACGAAAGAGGCCAGGAGAATTTCCAGGCCATTAACCCTCTTGGAGCCGCAGTGAAAGCATTCCCAGCCACACTGCCCTGCTATGTACGCGGGTTCAGGCAGGGACACAATGGATCATCGTCGATAATTCCCCAATGCCTGCATGGGAGGGGAAGGAAGGGAATCGATGTGGAGGGGAGGGGGGCAAGCGAGGAGGGGTTTCACCCTCACCCGATTGAACTGCCTACGATCAGATGAGGGAGACAGCCTGGCTCCCTCCCCCCTTTAAACGGGATACACCACTCCTGTCTCTTCACTAGGTCAAGCACTCCGTCTCGTCTCGTGAATTCAACCTAGAAGGCACTAGAGTGGGGAGAGAGGATGTAGCCCACCATAAAGATAAGCGAGATGGAGTGAGTGGGAATTGGAAGTTGAACTTTTATCAGGATCCATCCGACCCCAGTCAAGGTGATATACGAGCCTCTCTCAGCCGGACGTTTTAATCCCATGATTCACGACCTAAGCGGGGGAATCAGATGAGACCAGCAACGAAACTCTTCCTCAACTCCTTGCGATTCACTCAGTAGATACGAGATGGAAGAGTGAGTAATATTGCCGACACGCCTTAAGAAACTTCGAAGAGACAGAGACATAGTTTCAAGAGGAGGACAGCTGGTTGTGCCATGTACAAGCCGGCGTGTTTGTTGAACTCCTGCCAGATCCCCTGTTTCTCTCCAACCCTGCATAACGCAACGAGGCGCCTTACCCTCCTTTCCCTGCCGTCGTAAACACCTCGGCGCATAAAAAAAAATATATATTTTTTTTTTATGGCCTGCGCCTGACATAACTAGCAGAAACCTCGTATATGCGTCCAAGTATGAATGAAGACTGTTCCTGGTTGCGCCTTTAACACGGGCAATACATTTTTTAATTTGACTCATTTCAGCCATGTAATACCCATGGCAAGTGGAGGTCTCTCCACCTATGAGCAAGACTAATCGAATGCGAACACAGGAATTTCAGTGTGATGCATATAAAATTAAATATTCGGAGCTGTAATTAGTCTCCAAGGACATCAACCAACCGAGTTGTACTACACGGAGAAGATTTTACGGATATATTATGGAAATAGCAAACCAGTAAGGTTTGTGTCACTCGAACAAGGGGGAGGCGTGGACTTACCTTCTTTGAGGGATGTGAAGATCAACCGAGGAGGAACATCATCCTGCCACCTGTGTCCACTTGCCACATTCACATTCACACTGAACCAACCAACAAAAACAAAAACAAGAACCCCCAACAAGGTGGAGAGGGCATAGGGCTGCATCATGGAAGTTTAGTAGCAGAGTTCTCACTAATGCATCATTTCTTCAGTGACGTTGAAGAAAGTCAACCTTGAGGGGATTGTCATGACTCTTGTTAAAGAGTTGCCCATGTGAGCAAGCACTGTATATGAGTTTGCCATCCATCTAGAATGAGGCTATGTTTCACTCAGGATACTACCAGAAATTCAACTCATTTATCCACTGGTTGACCAGGACCTGAAAAGACATAACAATATGTGTTTAAAATGAAAGGAACACAATGTAGTGGACAAGTAATGCTAACACCAGTATTCAGGATCCCAAAAAACATGTCACAAATTGATGGACGCTTTTCACAATTTCAAATTTGTTCAATGGTAGTCTGTATCAGCATTTCCAGGAAGACACTATATTTTCAGAGAGCTGCATGATTTAAGGATTTGTCAGGGCATAAAGGCAGTGCAAAAATGTGCAATATGAAAACTTTTTATATAATGGATAAAATGATCAACTGACTTTCATCCTATTCAAATAGAGATAAAATCAACTGTATATTTATTTACAGGGAAATAAATTATCAGTAGAATGGCACTTTCATACATCAGAAAAGTTCACATTTACTCTTTCTCAGAGTGCCTTGGGTAAGAAGGCTAAGTGGCAGTTGACTTAGAAAAAGTCATAACTTAGAAACATCTACTAGCTGAAAATGCTACAGCTGAAAATATGGGGTAATAAAGAAATTATCCAAATTATTCATGTACTATCTCAACTTTGAAAGAAGAGGTCATTATGGTTCATACAACATTGAAAAGCATGAAATTTAGTTAATGTTGCAGTTCTACTCCTCAGATAGTAGTTTATTGATAGCCATTCAAAAATATAAGAAGGAACTATTTTTCATCTCAAGTATATTGTGATTACCCCACTTTATGGGATTTCTTTTACATTATATAATGGAAAAAGTAGAAATGCAGTGTGCACATAGTTAGATCAAACATTTGGCTGCAACTGGATTGGACATACCAGGCCTATTCCATGGCCAGCTCAGTTACTAGACTCAAGACTGCTTGATTTTCTTTTTTGGGCTATTGTGAAAAACACAGTCTATGTGACAAAACCTCAAAACTCGCCAGATCTCATGGTGACTCCTGAAATGCTTCTAAATGTCAATGCTGAAACTGAATGCTGGTTGCAAGCATGCATCAAGGCAGGTGGTATTAGCACTAGAAAACAATAGTTATGCTATGTCCTAATGTTGCTCTCCTATTTGAAGACGGATAGCTATTTGTATTTGTAGAAATAAAACTTTCTTTTAATAGAATGGGTACATAATTATGGATCATGCTGCATATCTTTCTACCAGCAGCTCAGCTGAAATTTTTCAATGGCAGGTGGAAGAGACAGACAATAGTAGGTAGCTGTTATCAGTCACAAACCTACCAAGGAGGCAGTGGCAGCTCATGATATGCAGCAGTAGTAGATCATCAATAAACCAGAGTAAACCTGGGTCTAATACTGCTACACATCATAAAGTGCCACTGGAAGGAGAGAATAGGGGAGAGGTTATGAGCCTCCTCACATTCCATCATCCCCTTTGATCTCTGTGTTAGACAGCCACGGAAAAGTAACTAATAATGCAATTTTTCTTCAGATACTTTTGCAAAGAGTACTTTCTAACTGTTGCTAAATATATTTCTGAGCAATTTTAACTGTTCCTAGTTCCTTTTCAAAAGTAACCTTCTCCTTATTGCTTTTAATTTTTTATTCAAGTTTTAAAAAAGGCATATGGTACTAGGTAAGTGATTCCTACAAGATCTGTAAGGAATTCTAAGAAAATGAATGATAGAAAAAAATCAACAGTAACAGGAAGGATTCCTTCTGCAATATTCCCATCTGATAAAACACCCTTTTATGTCACATATTGAAGCATATTATTTTCTTGGTTCCTTTTCCCTTTGAATTATATTCCATCTATATTGTTTCTTGCTGAAGTCAACCAACTGACCTCAGATAGCTGAATAAAGTCATTTCTTACATAAGCAATCATTCACATAATGCATGAATCACTGACCAAATCACATTGGGAAGACATGAATAAAACAAATAAGGGAAGTTTATGTACTTATCCCCCAAAGCAAACACAAACACAAGCCTTAGGTCACACAAATCTACAATTTCAAACAATGCATGACCAGTAGCATGATTTTCTTGGGAAGAGGTGGAACATCTATATATTCTATCACTGTCTCACTAGCAGCATTGCATAACACCTCAGTTGGTCAGTAGAAAAGTGTGCCTTCAATCTCTGAAATCTTCCTGCCCATACCAACAACATGATGCCAAGGGAAATCCCACCCCACCCAAGGCATCAACAGAATTAAATACTCATTTTGCACATGTTTACAGAAAAAAATTGTCTGCCACACATAGTGAACCAGGCCTTTTTAAAAATAATTTCTAAAACCATATGGTTATCAACCTAAAATAAAGTACATGTGAAATCGAGAAACTAATCTGGTGCATGTTTTCATAAATAACTAGGAATGAAACAGTTAAATTCATTCTGTCCTGTGTTCTGGGCATCAGTCCGATCAACTTTTATGGGCAAACAAACTCCACACACACTAATCCATTACAAATTACATTAAATTACGCAATTCTTCAAGGCTCACCTTTTTCAACCCTA